CGGTAAGCGCAGGCAAGGCGGGCCCCGGGGGGACGGCGGTCTTCCCTGCCCCGCACACACACAGGCGCTGCCCGGCTTTGGGGCGCTACCGCGGCAGCGCGGCCACACTGAACACCCTGTAAAATAGTTCTCCCACCACTGACGAGAAAGAAAAAGGAAAAAAAAAAAAAGGAAAAAAGACAGATAGTGCTTTACCATCACAATAAAAAGTCTTCACTGGCAAACGAGGCAAAAGGCAGCATTCGTCCCGAACACAAACTCAAAACTAAACTGCCATGGAAATACTGCTCGGGGGCAGTACAAGGCACACCTCTGGCTAAAGCACAGGGTTTGCTGTTCTTTTGGGTCAAATACGAAAAAGTGGTGCAGAACAGAACCCTTTACTACAAAGCTTCCATTTAAACATGTCCCAAACTTGACTGTGCTGTACCAAACCAGCCTCCCAAGAGGAATTTCTCTTACTGAAGACTTTAAAGTGACACAAAGTCCTTTCATGAAGAAACAGCTACTTTTCCCACCATGAAACACACCTGCAGCTACTCGCAATGAAACCTCTCCAGTGACTGGAATCCTGTCAGCATTAAACACCAGACACACAAATTATTACACGTGCACAGCCCTAAATGGAAAGAGTAAGGATTGGAGAACGCACTGGAGGAAAGTCTGAAACTCACCTTGAAACTGGGGTCAAAATTTACCCAAGAGACAAACCTCTGAAGGGCCCATTTGTCCTACCGTGGGTGAGTAACCACACTGTTGCCTAGGAGATCTGCTAGCGTGGGCAGGGATCCTGCTCTTGGGGGACATGGGTTTGAAGGAGACAATACTCATGGGAACAGCAAACAAAAAAATCCCACGAGTCAAGATCTGCACAGGCTGCTGTCAATAGCTCCTCAAAAATAGACTGTTTCTGAAAGATTAGGTTAGTCATGAAATAAATTATGAGAAGCAGAGGAGCCCCAGATCAGTCTTAGGGGTGTTTCATTCCTACTTGAAGCTGCTGTTGATTAGAATGCAGAACTCGCATTGAACTACAGCTTTCTCAGGAACTCCTCCGGTAAAATAATGGCTTGGATGATGGCAGGATACAACTAGAAAGCAGCCGAAAACTCCTTCCCCCCCCACTCGGTTTCTAAGCCCAAAGAAAGTCAGACAGGCCCTTCTACTTCCAACAGGCTTGTTACTTCTTCAGAAAGTCTGTCACTGTCTTCTACTTACAAATGTGGGGGTGAGAAATCTGCAGAGAACAAGATACCATTTAGCAACCCAAATCAGCCAGCTCTCGCATAGTGCACAGGAACAAGGGCTGAGGCACAAACCTTCAGTTCCAAGTTTTCCGGGGTTCTTATCCAAGATAAACATGGAATTTCTTCATAAGCTCTGCAAATGTTCTCATCTGCATAAGAACTGCTGCACTCCCACTGTACATACTGCACACCAAAAGAAAGGCCATACAGGCTCCATTCTGAGTCACTTAATGACACGGGAGCCTTTTCTTTAGTTTGAGGAAGATTGTTCAAAACAAGGAATGATAAATTGCTTTGTATCATCTTCTAAAAGTGTTCAGCAACTTACAATTTGTTATGGAATCTGCTGTTACAGGTTCATCCCCGTACTTCAGCTGGATTACGATTCCTAGCACATACTATGCATTACTGGATGCCAGTTGCTTCTAAAGTAAATAATTGAAAGTTCTGAAGTCAAGTTTATTTTGGGTATACGCAAAAGCCAGCTTTTCGTATTTGACTCCAGATAAACCGCTAGTGCACTCAAATGCTCTTCTGCTAGAAGTCTCCTGGCACCGTTACGTGAGGTAGCAGCAAAATCAACAACTAAAAAAGCCCTATCGCTTCAAAGTTTCTTGGAAATTAAAGTATTTATAATAGCTAAGGATATACTAAATAACAACAATAATCGGTGTTCGCACCACTAAATTTTGTATGTGGAGACCATTCTAGATGCAAGAACTAGGGGCCATCTTTACATGCCTCCAATAATTAAGGAACCTACACTGGGATGTTTTAGTCACTCAGTTGCTAGAATCCCACGACTGCAGAAGTTAACCCTGACGACTGCTCGCACTTCGGGTGCTTCATTTTGCCTACCTTTCTAACAACGCATTCTGCTCATCAGTAAGGAGGTCTGCTTTTGGTCACGAGAAGTAGGATTCAGATACCAGAACTCCAACTATGTATCAAAAATACAGAGAGCTACACTGTTTTCCTACTGGTAATTTCTGAATCGTGCCAGACCCAGCAGGGCCACAGGCACTGGGGCTGCTCAGCACCCTGACCTGCCCCAGAGGCACAGGAACCGAAGCTCGCCGGGTTGGGCGCTGAGGGAGAGGTTCTACCGCGAGACCGCCGCCTGAGCGAGGGGCTTACCTGGGTACTGCATACCGTACTGCTGCTGCGGCTGAGCCGGTGGCTGCTGAGCAGGGTAACCGGGCTGCTGGTACTGCTGATACAGCTGACCTATGGATTAAAAACTTCTTCAGTTGAAGCCCAGTACCCTACCTACATTATAAACACAGAGTGAACAACATCATAACCGTTTAAAATCACAGCAAGAAACCCTCTCACAACATGTAAAAATCTTTTTAAAAAAAATTGAACCCAGTGAAGTTTGAGTATGCTCTACCCAACTGCCGAACGAAATCAATCTACAGATTTTTAGTTCCTGAACCATGCCGTTCAGAAGATTAAATGCTGTTTAACTCCAACAGAATAAATAGTTCTAATTTGGTACGTGGCGCTTACTCTTTCACATTTCCAGAGGATGCCAGAAGCCAAGCACCTTAATTAGTGCCATGCTGGTGGGTAACAGAGCAGGAATCTTTAAACATCTCGGTAACTGTTCCAGAACTTACACTGTAAATTAAAGTACTTCAAAAGTTAAACATGTCTTCAGATTGTCTGTTTATATTAGGTTTTTAAGACCATTTCTGCATCAATGTACTGTAAGCAGAGTGGTACATTATTTATTCTGACCTCATTTTCCAGATAAATCACCCATCTCTTAGGATCTGACTTGCTGTAAGCCAAGTTTTCTTAAGAGACCCAGGAGTATACACCCTAAAGCAAAAACAAAGCTATACGTTCTTAAGCTTGGGTATTCCAATTCAATGCTTGTTTTTCCTAAATTTAGTTTGCAGTTTCTTGGCAAGAAGAGGCAGCATATTTGTTTAGACTTAACCTATGGGCCTTGCTTAGGCTTTATGCTTCTGCTGTTTTTCAATTTAGTAACAGGCACAGTCAAAGAACCAAGACAATTATCTGCCAAAACTAAAGCTCAGATGAACTAGAACAGACATGGAAACTTTTCTGTTACAAAGGGTTACTGTACTGTTATTCATTCTGCAAAGATCAGCAGACTGCATAAATACCCTGTGAGCTGTATCTTCTGAATTGCACACGACAACAGCAACTTGGCTCTGCTCCAAGTCCTCCCAGACCCCTGTGCACGCTGCTTTCACAGAACTCGTTCCTGCCTCTGCAGCACTTGAGGCTGAAAGCAACGGTATTTTACATTCACACCAAGGTGTGCAAAATGTTTTATATTGCTACAGTTCCTTCAAAATTTTATTTGGTATGCAATTATTGTGGGATGAACAGAGTGCTAAACAGCAAACAAGGCCTGAAAAAGAATGTAAGCCTGTTCGCCTGGTAACTAAAAATTAGAAACTCAGACTGCATGTTTTTCGTTTCTTAAACTCAGTTGTTCTAGGGAAGTTTTGGGAGAAAAACCATGCGGCTGCCTGTCTCGGGATAATTACCCGCAGGCTAACAGAGAAACCACACTGGCACCTGCTGGAGACCCCAGGCAAAGGATATGAAAGAAACACCATGGAGTTTTTCAAAAGCTGTTGGAGAAGGCTCGCTGTCTTCACCACGGCTGAAGCATTAGTGAGCAGCAGAGAGGTGTTCCAGTGTCAGTCAAGAAAACATTCTTCATTTACAGCCATGAATGCAGTCAGGGATCCTAAGGGTCCTTAAACACACAGTTTTCCCTCTCACTGGATTCTACTCTGAAAACAAGTGAGCTACAGAGTCTGGTTTTGTACTTAGTGCTTACTGCAGTCAAGGATCTGCCAGCTTTTACCATTGTTCCTGTGCACTGAAACAGCCATTTTAGCTTGATTCAGAAAAAAGACCAAATAGGTATACAGGCACACCACATTCTTTTCCCTAGCAGATCACAAAGTGCTTACATGAATGAACTTCTACATTTATTTTAGCAAGCACTAAAAAAGTATCCACATCTGTACATAATGTTCCTCTGTGTGTTCAGCGACTGGATTTAGTGGTACAAAAGCACAGGCATGCCACAAGAGATGGCACGATACTGAAACTTCTTTGCTATACTGATTTAATTCAAACTAGTGGATGCTTAAAACTTCATCAACAGAGACAAGCCTTTCATTAGTATCTGCACATAGAGGTGAAGTGACTTCATATTCACAAATAATGATAACTAATGACCAATTATAATCACCATAACATCATTTATTGGCAAAGAATGCCACTAAAAATGATCCCTGATATACCAGAATGATTGACACGTGATTGACATCACCATTTTAATTATATCCTCAAAATACTGGGAAGGTGGGGGGACAGCTTGGGGTGTTTCCTTTTTTTTTTTTTATTTTAAGAATTGAATGAGTATTTTAAAACTAGTTCCTAACAAGAACACGCTCTGTGTACCAGCAGTGCCACCGGTGTGAGCCAGTCCTGTTGCAAACCTGACCACCAAAGCCTGCCCAAAGCTCTGCCTGGGCCAGGGGCCCGCGTGGGTTCTCAGCTCGGCCACACAGCTGCAGGAAGGGAAAGCAGGACAGGAGAACGCTGGTCTCCACATTGATAGCACCTCAGCGCAGTGCAGCGATAAACAGTGAAGCGCAGAAAGCTACTCCATGTTTCAAAAGAAAGTCTTTGAACACTTTGGATAAAAGTAACTTAGTTTATGAAAAAAAAAGTCAGAAGCTGGTAATCACAGATATGCCACCCAGCTTTGGTAAGAGACTGCTATTTACCATGTGCATACAATGGACAGCACAAGCACTCCCACTAGTATTTCTGATGAACAAAGTGCAATAATGCCTTCTGATCTCCTCCCAAAAATGGAACCACCCTATTTTATCCATAGAGTGAAGAAAATTAATCAATACTCAACATATTTCAGTGGAAATAACAAAAAGTGCATAAACTACAGACCAAAACCTCCATAATTAGTGCTGTTGCACTTTTACATGCAAAAAAGAGACTTGGGCAAAGATATAACACAGTTCAGTGTTTAGAAAAAAAAAAAACCAAACCAAAACCCACTATACTTTACTTGACCCACGTTTAGAAAAGTCATTACATCTACTCTGATACACAAGCCTAGACAACTTCTTTCCTAAGTAAGATGAGTTTTGCTGAAAAAAGTGCTTTCTCCCTTCCCCTGCTGTTAGCAGCCATTCAAGGATTCCAACTTACTCCTGCTAGTGCTTTCAAGAGTTTCACTTTCTTTGTGTCAAATCTACTTTAACATCAGCACTTACAACCTCATACATTACTACATTAAGTAAAAAGGCTAAATTCATAAAATACAAGTTCACTAGCTGAGAGTATGTTTTTTGAACATTAAGTTTTCTAGCTGCCGACAGAAGAACCTGAAGCGCTTTTTTCCAAAAGCAACTTCCACACACATCAAATGCCAAGTAGTTATTATATCTTTAAGCTACACAGATGTCTCTTGCTGTCTCATTTATATCACTTAGTGACTAATTCTTAGGGAAGTAAGCACACAAAAAAAAAGCTGAAAGCAGCAAAACGAGTGTTTTATAAACCCCATTGCAACCAAAAGCATTCGTGCCTGCTTAAAATCACACCTAACTACAAGGTGCTCAAATACTCTGCTCAATCAAAGCATTACTGATGCCCTTCATGCCAGATATTCCAAGTGACTGTGGATACTGTTCATCACCCTCAGTAATGCCTCTCACATGTATCTCAGCATTATGTCAGTATAGGAAGCAGCAGAGGGTTGCAACTTGTTTCTACACTAACACAGAAACAACTTTATATTGTACTTTGTACGGAGGTAGAAACACCAAACCAAGTCATTCCACAGTTTAATCCAGAACTACGTGGGTCTGGAAGCTCAGCGCTCTTAGAAAATATCAATAGAAAAATCATGCCCAAATGTAGTAAACCTCTGAACAGGTTTATTTTTAGAAGTGAAAAAACACATAAAAGGGCATAGTACAAAGGAATCTGAATGCCAGAGTTAAGATCTTAAGCTTTAAAGGGACACAGCTGAGGCTCTCAAGGGTTACACAGGAAAACTACAACACGCATGAGACAGTTACAAGGTTTAAGCTGACTACCACAGAGCTGTACATGGCGAAGAAGCAATGCAGTAATGGCTCTGTTTTGTTAGTCAGAAATGATGAGTAAACAACATTTTTAATTCACAGTAGACAAGCCAGAAAACTGCTAGCTGAGCAAAACCTTGACACAACACGCCGGGTACGACATGAACTAAGATCTCCAGATAGCTTTAAAGTGCAGCGTACATAAATCCACCTCACAGTAAAGTGAGCAGGGATGCAAGTAGAAAACAGCACCATGAACGTCCCCCTCACGTTACAGCACCTACCCTTTTAAGTAAAGCTACTGCCCCACCTGCTGTTTCTATATGGAACAGCATGCGAGGAAAAATGTTCTGCCCTAGTGGCACCGATGAATTTGCAGTTCGGCGTTAACTTCGGCTCTGCTAGTTGGAAGTGTTAGCTACCGACCACTCAAGACTCAGATACCATCATTCACGTCTTAAACAGCAGGAAAACGTGCCGCTCACCTTCCACCTGACCAGTCTGTGGCTGTGCTCCAGGGTACGGCGGCTGCTGTGCCTGAATGCCAGGGGGGTGGGCTGCAGAAGAGGAGGAAGCGATGCTGTCCGGTGTTCCCGATCGCTCTTCTGCAGGGGCACTGGGTGGTCCTATAGGAGCAAGAACAAAATACAGTAAGTGAAATGAACAGAGAGTTTGAATTTTAAAAATCCAATACACTACCATTCCCTTGGAAAGTTTTTAACATTTTTTCCAGTCTTTCATAGGTTTACATCTGAGAGTGTCACACCCAAGTGAGAACTAAATGTATTTGCATAGCTAAACTCTCCTTTGAAAATATTTTGGGGGGGAGTTTTTCACCTGTCTCTAGGTCACTCATATATCATCCTTCCGAGGAACCCGACCCATTTGCTGAATAAAATCCTCCACGACAACATGTTTTTTCCACAGCTTCAAGCGTTAACCTGGCAAGCGTATACTGAAGACTTGCTATGTTTAGACAGAACATGCACTACGTACCTATTCTTTCTCATCTGGAGCAACGGTGAAAGGCTGCATGAAACTGTTCAACTGCACTAGTGTTTTACCATGGCCCACACAGGCCCATGCAACAAGTTGTTTTACCAACAGTCATACAGCATGCGAACAGAAAACCTCCGAGGAAGGTGTTAAAATCGCACTCCCGGACAGGATATGGCAGGCTTCAGTCTAAATGCAATTGTCTGCTTTCATAATTCTGAAAATATTCCAGCTAGCACACAAAGAAAGCATGGAAACAGAGAATTCAGATTTTCTCTACATTAGTGAGAAGTTCTGAAATATGCATGTGAACAGGTACAATATACTACAATTAAATGCAAAATATTTTGTCTGAAACAAGGGAGCTTCAACCTGGATCTTTCCAGCTCTTAGCTATACGAATGCCTCCTATGAGACACTACTTTCAAATACTTGTGCTTAAAGTTAAGCACAGGCATTAGAATTGCTGCAAATTCACGTTCAATTCTAAGGTTATATTTATACAACATAAATACATATCCAATAAGGCCTTAATTGTCTTTTCATGTTAGCCTTACTAGGGGGAAAATGAACCAAATCTGCCTACTTCTTGTTTCGCCTTTATATATGTAACCGCAGGATTATAGCTTTAGAAATGTGATTTCGCGTATCCTGCTTAAATGGTCCTCTGTGAAGTTCTTTGTACATTCACAGCATGGTCAAGTCAAACAATTCTATCGGAAGAATTATGGAGACACATAAACATTGCAGTATCACTGATGTTATCCTCAAAGCATTAACTGACACTGAGGCTTTGTACCAAAAGACAAAATCACTCCATCAAAAATTAGCTCCAATTTTCTGCTAGTTGTACTTCACACTCCATCGCTCCGTTGTTCAAAGATAGGCCATCGTAAGTTTTCAAGTACGATCAAACCTTCATCTGGTTTCTGAAATAACGATGCTGTCACAATACCCTAAATGTGCCACGGAGGAAGAGAGCACTCAATAGGCCTGATCCACCGCCTAGTATCCCAGCCTGAAGACAACCACTCTGTCTGCAGGTACAACTTTGGATTCTGCACAGTGGCAATCACGCAGTGCAGGTCTATTCCCATCACGCCACACTTTTGCCAAGGCAGCTGTACTGTAGAAACAAGCTCCAGCTGCTATTAGTTTGCCCATCTGTATAATTACTTCATGCATCATATAAAATTTACTTGCTGTAAAGTTGAGAGCACACAGCAAATCCTGTTAGCGAACAGCAGATTTATTTTCAGGTTTCAATGCTACATTAAACCTTGCCAGAGCCACGTAGATTCCATGCAAAATCACTTCTCTACATTCTGCATCACACTCCCTATTACAGTCTACGTTGCTTTTCTAACTTCAGTTATCCTGTCTTAGGTTGACTTGCATTCAGTTTAGTATAAGCAGGTTTTATGTTTAGCATTCTACTACTAGGTAGGGCCAACAGTCACGCAGCTCTTCAAGAATATATACAATTCAGACAAGTATGTTATTCCTTTCTGTTAACAGTAAAAAAGTTGACACTATTTACTTTTGCAATGAAACAGACAAAAGGCAGGGTCACACTAAACATTCTGACTGACCCAAACAGCAGAAGCACAACCCAAGAACATGAACTGCAAAATCAAACCCTAAGGCTGAGTGGTGGATACTCTTTTTTCCATCACTGGCATACACCAATTAAGTTACACTATACAATAGCTTTAAATAATTCATATAAAAAATTAAGCCATTTTCTTCTCCAAGCTAGAACACAATGCTAAAACAAACAGCAACATTTCAACATTTTGTATACAAAAGTTAGCAAACACAACAGCTTAAAATATCAATAAAAGGTGAGTACAGAACAGAGTTTAATACATCCAAAATACAAATGCTTTGTTACAAATCAAGATTTGAGTCATCAATTATGAACAGGTTTTGCTTTCCTTTTCATAAGACATATTCTTACCTGACACCTGATCATCTGTCAAGCCAAATGCTGACATGACATTCTTGCTGACTTCATCCTGGTTCTTTAGTGGATCAAATGCAGACATGCTTGCTGCTATAACTTGAGTAGATGGCTTAACATTAGAGTCAGCAGCAGCAGGCTTTTCTTCCCTACCATCTACAGCATCTACAAAACAAAATGCCCAATTATTAATTCTTGAGAACTGAAACACCATCATACACATATACTGTACTACAGCAACTTGAAAACTGCATAGCTAGAGGGGAGGTGGCTTAAATGTTTTAACTCTTGAAATTCTTATGTTAGGATAACCGTGAAGAATCAGTGAATGTACCTGAAACTGTGATGAATCACAAAGCTTAGGCTTCATTGCACAGTTAAAGCTACACTGACACTGTGGATTATCAGTATCACGTATCACTGTCGTAAATTCAAAGGTACAAGGCTCCTGCTTCAAACAAATTGTTCTGGTATGACTTGCCTACAGAGAATTCAAATTAAGAAAACTTACAGGATAGGTTCTAGTTTATTATAGTGTTTTATGAACTGCAGGCTTGGTTTTGTTCTATCCCCTTCTCCCCGAATTCTTTCTAAACTAAGAGGTGAAGTTCATCTCTTTGCAATTATACAAGTAACACCGAATCACTCAGAAGCCCCTTATCTAGTAGAATGCTATTATTTTCTCTTAAAAACCAGCCAGTGCAGATAAGAGTTTAGACTGGCTAGTTTTGTTTACACTCCAACATCATCACCCTAACCTCCTTCCAAATGGTTTATAACCACAATTCACGGTAATCCACTGAAGTTAGTAATTGCTTATACTGTAGGAACAGGGGCTGGGATTTTTTAAGCACCAAAACCAATAAAACTTCAAAGTGTAAAATACAAAAGCAGAGTTTCCTAAAAGAAAGGCTGGAGTTCTTGGTTCACCTCTTTACTCAGAACACTGTATCCATGACTTTGTGTCACTATTTTACGTGTCTGGCTTACCCAAAATCTGTAGTTAAGCACACAGGGGTATAGTTTTTACAGTATAACGGCCCTAAACTAAGAGATCAATGCCTCAAAACTGGTAGAATAAGACTTCCTCCCCCGTTGCACCCTTCCCCGATAATCCTTTCCCCACCCCTAGCTGCACCCTTGTGCTGCTTACCCTGAGACAGCTCTGAGCTCAAAACGTGTGGATTCAATTTCCTAACCTGGCAAAAAAAGTGGATATAATTTTTGCTGAATTCACTTTTTACTGGTTTAGTGAATCAAACTTGCTTAGCAACATGACAAGATAAGCACCAGAGCTAGCCCAAAGTAAGCAGTGGGAGTGCTCAGCTGGGAGCAAGAACTCTTCAGCAACAGCAAACAAACAATTCAGCTCAAAGCCCTCTGAAAACGTTGTTGTGACTCACAAGTGTTAGTTACAGCATTTTCATACATTGCAACAAAAACTCAGACTTTGAAGTTTTATTCCTAAGTTAACTTAGTGCTTTACTCCAGAAAACTTGCACAAAATTTTGCCTCTGAAATAACGAAAGCATTAAAAATTAAGTTCTAAACCATCAAGCAACAATTAAGAATGATCACAACCAGTACTCAACCCTCTATTCTTCACTTTGTTAAAAAGCACACAACTCTGCAAATCAAACCAAACAATTCCTTGCCAGGCTGCCTACCACTTTCAGGCAGATTAGTGGAAAGCCCTGGTTCGGCTGGTGGTTCTAAACAGTCCAGTAAACGATTGACTTTATTGCGAAGTTCTATCAGCTCTCGACGCAGGTATTTCACCTGATTAGATTCTAGGGGTCTTGGTTGTCCGTTCACTGCAAAAAAGCAATGAGATAAATTTAAGACTATAGTAACACTTTGACATCCAGTTTAAAATTAAAAAAAAAAAAAAAAAAAAAATCCCGGCTTTTACTTCCTTGTAGTATCATCATCCTCTGTGAAGTTTAAAGTGACAAAGTTTAGTCAACACAGACTGCACTCATTCTAGAGCTTACCATTCCTTTAATATAATCTCAGTTCAGCATAATCCACAGTACCAGAACTGCAGAGTCAAGTCCGCAGTAAGTTTCTGCACTGTTTACTCATTTCCACGAATATACTTTGAACAATACAGATATCATACTTGGCTGTGGAAAGCTGTACCTTTGGAAAGTGCCTTTAGAACTAATGCAGCACACACAACACTGCTGCACTTCATGCATCAGGACAGTGCCCAAGTTAAAGGCTGCTTGCTGTTCCTTGGAACTCTCTGCTTATTTACCAATAGTAGCTTGAAAATAAAGAACTATTTTATACAAAAGCCAAAGGATAAATACTCAAATCTATTCAACTTTATGCAATTAATGTTCGTATGTAGCGGTGTACTAGTAACACTGCAAGATAATCATCAGCTTAAATTTCTCATGCACCTGTAAAGAAAACCCCACATATGCTACAGAGTGGAAGATAACATGGAAAATAACAGTAAGAAAAAAAACATTGACCACATATATATGTATGCCAAATACTTTAAGCAATCTTATAAATAGTTTCAGTTTCCGTAAATTCAGATGTCACATGAAACATCGACAGAAAACACACACCCTGTATTAATCCAGTAATTTTAACTTACTGATTTCTTTCTTCTCAGGTCACAAACAAAGTTTTTAGTACCTTCTAGTGAAGCTGACTGCCCGAATTTTAATAAGCATTATTAAAAAAATAGAAAAATACAAACAATCTTCTATACTTACCAAACAATGTCAGTTTAAGTATCCTACTGCACTGAATTGCAAAGGAAAGATCTGAGCTATCAAAAATTGTTATAAGATCTCCATCTGAAAAGAACATGAAAAAGTTACATTAAAAGCAAAGCAAAACCAACAAGAAATCTTACAAATACTAACAAACTGATGACATATAAAATAATTTTCAAGTTGATCTCCATCTGAAAAGAACATGAAAAAGTTACATTAAAAGCAAAGCGAAATAAACAAGAAATCTTACAAATACTAACAAACTGATGACATATAATTTACAAGTTTTCCTGAAAGAAATATTGTTGTCTCCAAAGATTTATGTATCCTATGTCCTGTCTGCACTTTCACAATCTCAAAAGACATTGGTTCATAGCAGTATCAACCATGGATTCACTGAGCAGAGACTGGAAAGTCTTCAAGAATGGAGGGTCCAAAACCCCCACTAGGCAACCTGCTCCAGTGACACACTGCCGTCCTGGCCAAAACTCACGCTCAGCCTCTCAAACTGCAGTTCAGGACTGCTGCCACCTGGCGCCACCAAAACCAGTTTGGATTCCATGGTCTCTGCACTCCCACTCCGTCAGCTGGAGGCTGCTGTTAGCCCCCGGCCTCCTCTGCAGCCCACTGAACAAGCCCAGCTCCCTCAAATGCTCCCTGAACCCTCTCTCTGGTTTCTCAAAGTCTTTTCAGCCTGGGGTGCAGGGGGCGAAATTAAGCACGGATTTCCCGGTGAGGCCTCACCAGTGCCTGGAGTGGGAGGGCAGTAGTGTCCCTGTTTGCCACAATGCCACAATGATCCACAACAAGACTTATAAAATCAGACCCCAAACAAGTAACTTTATGCAAGCTAAACAGTCCTTTCTCTTTGGCAGTGAAGTGAGGGCAGGGGTTTCCCTCCAACCAAACACTCCCTCTGGCTTTTCAGTATCCTTTCCTAAATGCTGATACCAAAATCCACCAGTGTCTTAACACAAAGCCCTTCTACTCCATATTCTCCTGGTAACACAATAAATGATAACTACTTCTCTTGCCAACACACATTGGCAGACCACCTTCTGATGCTTTTCTGTCACACCAGTCAGCACTCGGACTCACTGCCTGAACAAAGGTGTGTGTGCTACAGAGTTTATCCCGCACAGCCAAACGTAAATGTGTATTAATACACATGGTTTACATGGATTAATGTCACTCAAAAGAACCCAGATCATTCCACCTTGTTCTCCCTCACCTATTTTAACACTTCTCTTAAATGGCATTAAGAATAATGACTGAGGTTTCTAATTAAATTAGTAGCAGAAAAAAAGGGTGAAAAGCACCAAGTACAGAATCTTGTTCATTTGCATAAAGTCAGTTCCATGATTCCTATTGACAGCCATTATTGACAGCCATCAAGCTATCACCCAAGTAAAGCACATGCTAGGATTCATAAGGTATGTGTCAAGTCATACAAAAGTCTGACAATTTAAGTATGTTAGATTTATCAAACAAACTTTTCATTTTAAGGTATGTCAATAAAGCTTAATTCCTGTTACCATGATATAGATAGGAATAGACAACATTCATTGTTTTCTATTGAAAAGTAAAACTGACTTTCCTGTGAAAAGTAAAACTGACTTTCCTGTATTTTCTCTACTAATCTTGTAATTTCAAGAACTTACCTTTCTTATTTTTACAAGGGACAGAGCTTTCACTCTCTACAATTTCCCATGTACCCTAAATATTCCCTGCTATGCCAATTATAAATATTTTTTATCTAGTACAGGCTAGTGACTCCCTCAACTTGCCATTGGACTGGAAAAGTATTTTAGCTTTAATTCTGCATCATCATGATGCATTCCGATTTTTATGAGACTAGAAATCAGAAGAAATTTTAAATGTTTAACACATTAGAAGTCTGTCTCGTAATCCTTGGTCCTGCCAGCTATGCATCTTCATCTACTAGCTTTATCTACCTTTATATTCATCTTTTTTTTTTCCTATTAAATTTTGGAAAAAGAAATGCAAAAAAACCCCACCAAAAATGTAGTTCTCCTTCACTTTGGTAAATTAATCGGAGGTAGACATATTACTGACTAGCACACCACCTTGATTACATGCAGTATGAGTTAGTAACTCATCACTGGCTCTGACAAAGACATCAACTGCTACTGCCAGGTAATGAAGAACAAGAATGAAAAGGCCAACATCACATTAGGCACTCTAGCTTTAAATTCAAGCCTAACTTCACAAATAAAGCGAAGTTGCTATTATTGTCTTCAGGGGGGCTTTAGCACATGTAACTCAGAAACACGGTGTGATTAAGAGCAATTCCACTCTTTCATTCACGTAAATTCACTGCTGGCAGTCCTCATCGGTTTGTTTGGGTTTTTTTTTTTGCAGACATTGGGTTTTACTACATATTCAAGAACCTTAAGCAGGACATGAAAATGTTTTCACACCTAGTAGAGCAATTTCTTTAGTTCAGAAGTTCAAAAGCTGCCCAGCCTGAATATAAAACCTAACTCCACAGGGCAGTAACCAAACCGAAACTTCTTTTCCCTGGTAATTAATAAAAGCATCACATAACCTAAACACAACTTAGGAACATGCTTCTGACTATCTTCGTCCACAAATCCAGAGACAGAAGGATTGGGATTTAAAGTTTCCTAGCCTCTCCAACTAAGCATACAAATTTGAAAAAAACAGAACACATTTGATTCAAGCTCACCAGCTTCACGTGTTACAACAACAAGAAATAAAGCCAGGAGAGGTAGATGAGTATTCTTCTAAACACTCAAAGAGGGTACATGTGAATTCTGAGGAGACTCAGATCGAGGTTCTAAAGTAGTGGAAATCCTTAGACCAACTAAAGATACCTCCTCCTAATAGATGAACACAAGCATTCCTCCAGGTCTGGAAGGATAATTAAACAGAAATAGCTAGAATGTATATATTCCAATTTTTCTAATGACTGAAATAGATTTAAAGAAGAATCTTGGCTTAATTGAAACAAATTCCAGAACACCATGATCCTCATATGACCATCAAACTGAAGCCCAGTTCTGTTAACTTTTTCCTTAATCACTTGCAACTTCCTCTGATATTAACAAAGTTTAAACATTCTTAGTAGTAATGATCAGCTATGATAATGTACACTGAAACTTCACATCACACTGGAGAAGCAGTACATTCTGAGACAAAGAAAGCTAAAATTAAAAGTAGGAGGTCTCTAGGCTGTCAAAGACAAACAAAGAATGAAACTACAATTACAGTCTCCATCACACACCATTATCTTCATCAAAAGAAAGGCAGAGATAGAAGCATACACAAAACCAGAGAACTATAGTTAAAGAACAGGTAAGAATGCAAAAAAAGGGACTAGAAGCTTTAACTTTATAAACTGAACATGATATCTACGGTACAGAGTATTTCCATTGGCCAGCTTGGGCTAGCTGCCTGGCTATGCTGCCTCCCAGCTCCTGCATACCTGCTCATTAGCTAAACATGGGAAACTAAAAAAAAAAAAAAAAAAACAAAAAAAAAACACACACACAAAAAAAAAGCAGCTACTGGGAGGAAAATTAACTCTATCCCAGCAGAAACCAGGACAATGTATGAACAAACGTCGTTTGACATTTTAGGTACCACAGACAGTGCTAAAGTTTCCTAGCGCTATTAAGAGAAGTGAACCTGAATGCTTCAGTAATGTAGAGCTCTTGTACTGTACGCCAGCTTAACTATCACCGTCTTTGATCTAAGAGATGTTGCATTTTATCACTGCATTCTGAGTTTCATTTTATGAATACCACCCCTCTGTCCCAAATTAAGTAACTTATCCATGCCCCACACTGACAGTCAAGAAGGAAAAACCCTCCAAAAGACAAGTCTCTTGCTATGCACCTACAAGGCCCTTTTCATTCTGTGGAAGCCCTTCTTGCTTAAGGTTGCATTTGGTTAGCACTAATGATGGAGATTTTCTTTGAAACAATCAATGTCCAACAGATTCAAACCATCACACAGGGGAAAGACTACTTTTAATAAATATTTCAGGTTAAAAGTTTCTTCTAATCTTTACTGATGGAGGAAAACATAACAAAGAATTACAACTACATAAATCAGTTTTCAGTCTTATAAGAGTTTGCATTGTCATACATGTTTATTCACTCATTGTCATACGTTTATTCACTCCTCACCTTCAAACCCACTTCATCACTGAAAACACAAAAACATGGTTAAAAGAGTGGACAGAAGAAAACTGGCAATAGCATCAGCTTCCTGCAACAGCAAAAAAATGAACTTTCAGATAGCTGGTATTTCAGAATAATTGTAGGAAATACTATGTTAGGCAGCATAAGCACAAGAGATACAGCTTCTATTGTCTGATTCAAAGGATTTCACAAGAAATCACTTGCATTCGCCAATGAATTTGTACAATTTTGAAGAGGTGAATTTCTGTCCACAGATAAATCATACCAGAGCAACAGTAGTAATTAAACCTCAACAGCAGTAATTAAATCTTACCTTCATCTTTATATTTTATTGTGACTTCATCATTGCTCAGAAGTTTTCCTCTAAAAACTCTTTGCATCATTAGCACCAATTCATCGTAGGTGATATCTTCATTATGAATAGGAATTCTCCTAATATCTTCCCCAAGCTGAGCTTTGATGATCAGCTTCCCACTTAAGTCCAGCTGCCCATTCATGGTGGATTCCTTATCGCCTGCCGAGCTGTTAACAACAACCAAAAAAATCAAAAACATTTGAGAAAACTAAACTGTTAGCTATTTAAATGTATCTGATGACAGTTCTGAAGCCTTCTGTCTTTGGAAAGAATTACTGTTAGGAAACTCTCCAGAGAATCTCTCTCAGACTAACTTCTCAAACAATAAAATGCACAATACATTAACGGAGCTCACGGGCAAAAAGAAACTCTGTAAGGTTCAACACTTCAGATTAACAGTTATCACAGTTCCAAGCTCTCAGAATTTAAAAGTAAAGACTTTTTTGGAAGTCAGACAGCTTTTAAATATGTGTGACATTTAGAAAAATCACACTTGGTTGGGTTTTCTTGTAAGTTATCAGCTGTAAACTGTCACAGAAAAAAGCTATAAAGGAACTAATATTCCCTAGGATTTGCTTTTGAGATGTATATATACATTTCTCTCAGGGAAAGTGAAATTGCAGCCAAAGCTGTCAGCCTTACAACATTATACTGGTTACATTACCACCTTATTATTTTTACATCCCCCATAATTACGATAACCAGCAAAGGGCTTTTTTTTTTTTTATTTAAGACTGACAGAACAAAATACATACCTTTATGCACCTATATATGTATTTAGCTCTACTGTTTCAATGGCAATGTTTTGCATTAAAAGGATGTAGTATGGTGCTATCTCTAGATTGCAACTAAATTTCTGGGGTTTTTTGTAATTAACTTAATATAAAGCAAACATTTCATGCAAATCCCTTTGTTTAGCCCAATGACATCCAAAAAAAGAGACAATCAACTTCTGAACAAAACTCATTCTCCTAATCAGATGTAACAGAATGTAGGTGGATATGGTCTAACTGCAGAGAAAAGGGACCTGCAATTAACACAGCCAGGCTGCTGCTGAGACACTATGATGAAACGCTGAAGTTTATAATATCGTTAAGGCTCACTAATGCAGTATCCCTGTTCTGCAACACAGGAGTCTTGACTGAAGACACATCAACTTAATTAACACTAAGTTGGTTGTAAAAGCACATGGTTTTGTAGGTGTTTGTTTTGTTGGTTTTAGTTAAAGCATTAAAAAAAAAAACCAACACAGCATCTATCCACAGGTTTTCTTTTACCTCCTTTGTAGAAAGATACATTTATCATTACCTTGTCTGTCTTACTGATGCTGGATTACTGGACAGAATCCCCACCTCAGTTCAGGACAGAGTCAGGATAAGCCGCCATGCACTATCAGTGCCAGAAAACAGGAAACTGCATCAGAAAAAAAAAACCACAAGACATATTTATTTACAGTCACACTTCCTTAGAATTATACACTTCACATCAATCTTTCACTTTAGAACTTAATGAATATACCCAACTAAAAAAAAGTCACTGTTTTATTCATAATGTAACAATCAGAATTATGCTTCTGAGTACTGTAGAGTTTGCAGTTCAGCTAAAATAGATCTTGAACAAGAGTTATAATTTCACAACAGAAGAAGTTTAATTCTTCTAAATTTTATAACTGCATGTAGGAGTTCCTAACAGCAACATGTTCCTTTCCAGGACAGTGATCTTCCCCAACAGTCTCAAAATATTAATTTGTATGGCCTCCATCTTAAAACTGCAGGTTAAGTTAAAGAAAATTGATTTATTGATTGATTTAGCAGTACAAAAACCTAGAAGTCCATTTCTTAGCTTAAGGCTGAAGCCTCTGTGGCATTAAGTAGTGTGTCCTCAAGGACAGACTGCACAGCATTAGGACAGATTACCAAGAGGAAAAGAGTGGTAATGCCCCTTTCCCACAGGAAGGGCCACCAAACCGGGCAAGAAGAAGGAAATGCAGTCAGAAATATACAACCACTTAAAAATATGATTTTCCCTCAATTCAGCTTAAGATTGTGCTTTTTCTGCTGCCTATGTGATGAGCTGTGTGACGCTGATGCAGTCCACCCGTTTATTACACAAGTGCTTAAAACTCAGAGCTACAAGACAATGATTTAGCATACAGCCCAGCCCAACGGAGAACATAACTGTGCTCCTCCCTCCCACTCGATGGGCGCACCCCACTCGGCACTCTTCTTGTCTCTCTCTCACACACATGGTTAATCTCAAACACCCATGATGTGATTTTTAGATGATTCGCTGCTAACCAGAGAGGAAAAAGCAGGTTCCTCTCATCCACATGAAACTAGGCTTCCAAGCTCTCCCCTTTCAACTCAACTGGAAGTAAACCAGCACAGACGAGCATGAGACAGAAGCAGAGAGCAAGCAAACCCCAGAGAACGGACAAAGGCCCTCTCTGGTTCTCATCGGCTGGCAGCCACTCCCCTCATCCTGCGTATGCAATGTTCACCTTTAAAAAGGGCTGTACTTGCTCCTGACAGAGGGAGGGTCAGATTGTTGTGACACACTAAGCAGGTGAACAGGAAGAGACTACTCTCCTGAATCCTCACCCACATTTTATGAAATGAGTAATGCATGAAGATGGTGCCCCTTTCACACCAATCTTGCTACAGCTCCAGGTAAAATTTAACAAATATGGGACACATATAATGCATCGAAGAGTGATTTAACTCAGAGAGTTCGTTTAGCTACCATCTCACGTTGTTTAAACATTAGAGCTGGGCATTTAGCATTACAATGTAAGCTGCTTAGAAACTGCCAACAGTAAGAATCGCACCTCATCTGTAACTCCTAAAGATACATGTTTTAGTGGACACACCTGAGCTCCTGTGGCCTTTCAACAGACTGAAGGCATCATTTATACCTTTGTGCAAGGAAACCAGCTACCACAATGTACTTACAGAACTGTAATGTCTTATTTATCAACACTACTCACAGAAATCCACTCTGTGTCTACCAACGATTACGAAAAGGTAACGGGAAAGCATTTAAATGCACTTCTTTTATCCAGCTGGTCTCCATTCTGCTTGAAGTTGTCCAGGTTTTAAGAGACAGATTCTAAACACTGCAACTACTTGCAACTATTAGAAAACACTATGTGAAATATTCTAATTATTGAATTACACTGTATTCAAGCTTTTCTTCCCTCACTGTGACATAGCTGAATGGGTGACTCCCTTGAAAGAGTTTTTCAAAGACATCCAGAATGCACACTAATGAGCTTTTTAACAGAATCAATCAGTGTCTACTTACTTGATGGGAATGAAAAAAAAAAAAAAATTTCTTCTTGTTTAAGAAAGACTGTTTTTCATAACAATCACACTGACATCTTTCTAACCTTCCTGGTGTACTATGTGCATTTTGGAGGTACCGATTTTTTCCCTCCCCTCTTGGCTCACTTTCTATTCCCATCACACACTAAATGCTGCATGTGGACAGTGACTGCCCAATCCAACTCAGTCACTTCAGGCCATGATGTCATAGCCATGTTGGATTTCACTACCCTTTTTGCCTGGCAGCACAGAAAAACAGCCTTGCCTAAGCAAGGGAACCACAGGCATTCCTGCTTCACTTTTTCCTCTGTCAAAACAGGGACAAGGAACAACAGGGTGAGGCATACGGGACAGGGCCAAGCAGCACTGCCTCCCAAACACCACTCGACGGAGCCATGAGTTTTCCCGAGATAGCTGTAGGGGCGAGCAGGGGAGCAGAAAGGAGAAGCGCTCTTTTCGGTCTTCTCCAGCTCCGATCAGGACAGGCCCGACCCCACGTGGAGCAGAAATCACAGGCATTCCCTGCCGGGAAATGAGGAGTCTGCAGCTCCTCCGGGTCCCGAGGGGGAAGAGGCTCGGTGAGCAAGGGAACACGCTCCCCCCTGCGCAGGGAGGGATGGGGAGCGGGGAGGCCTCTGCCAGCCCTCACCCCCGATTCCTCAGGCCGAAGAGGCCGCGGGACGGTTTCAGCCTTCCTCAGGCACGGCAGTGGGGGCGCA